ACACACACACACACACACACACACAATCTGTCCTAAAAGTTCCGAACTTTCTTCGTACGGACGGTATTATAGTAACATCATCTATAAGATTGCATTATCTTCATTGAAATTTCGTTTACAAATTCTGTAAATTAAGATCCCTCTAACAACTGTTTTACCACAAGTATAAAATTGACAATACCTTTGTGACACACGTTGAAAAATCACGATGGAGCAAAAAGCAAATATTAAATTCTATGTGAGATAAACAAGTGTTTGCTTGCAAGAATTTGTCGGATTTGTCCTCGCAATGTCGAGCTGATTGCTTCTGCATGACAATGTTCCGGCTCGCAAGTACATCACTATGCGTAAATTAATTTCTCGCTTTCAAATCAGTCGTAGTCCTTGATCATCCCCCCTATTCATCAGATTTGGCACCATGTGACTATTCTTTATTCCCGAAGCTAGAATGAAGCTGAAGAGAAAGCAGTCGACACTATTTTCAGGACACTACATTCAGAAGGCTTCGACCGAGGTCATTTCGACCATTTCAAAAAAAGACTTTCAGCGGAGTTTTCTAAAGCTATACGACCGTAATGTAGCTATATGACCGTAAACAATGTATTTCTTCGGATGGGATGTATTTCAAATAATTGTAAATAAACATTTATAATTATTACCTTACATGAAAGTCCATGAAGTATTTTATGTTTTATTATAGTGGATTGAACGGAAAGTTTGTTCTGTTTTTTTACTAATAGATAGTATTATAAATACAAAAAACGGAACAAACTTTCCGTTCAATTCAGTATAATAAAACATAAAATACTTGAACTTTCAATGATTTTAAAATTAAATTAAAAGTATTTAAATATTGCGAAATATTGCGTGCATTTCTGACAACGCAAATTGTAGGCGCGAAAAGGAGAGGAAAAGATGCAATGATGCGCATATTGCGCCAGTGACGTTAACCGTTCAAGACGGTAAATGATACACAAACGTCATCGTTGAATGAAGAGTTGCCAATACCACGATCTACAAACTCGCAGACTCGATAGCCTCTCGTGTCAAGCGCGATACTGCTTCGCGCTTGATATCGTCGTCTTCTCTTAAAAATCTTTCGTCGTTATTTCAATCTAAGTGAATAGAAAGTAGAAAAGAAATTTTTATAATATATCATTATATCGTATAATGGGATTTTTGATCGCGTTGTGCGTCTGAAAATCAACGAAAATCAAAAGTTTGATCGACACTTTGCATTTGTTACTTGAAAGAAGGAAAGCGTCGTCGATTTAATCGCGAAATACACTGCGAATGACAATACAATTTTAATTTGACAAGCAACAAATATGTGAATGAATATTGAGTTTTTTTACATAATTAAAATCATAAAAGCGAATTATGTCTATATAATCATATATATTATGTATAATTATCTAAATTTATAGATGTAGAAATTTGCATCTTTTCAGGAATTCATCATATGATTTCATTGCAGTACACTCGCTGTTGTTATGAGATTCAGAACGAGTTGTGCAGAGTCACAACGATTCGATTCAATGTGGAATTCGCCCTTTATCGAATAGCGAGCGACGGGCGGCTCTCGCAAGGCGAAAGAAGACAACCGCTCTCGAGGCCGCGGCTCGATAGATTTGATTCATGAATGAAACTACTCGCGCGCGTGAGCCGTCAGCGCGTCAGCATGCCGAGTATCTCGATGAACGTATTTATGTACATGTATGTATATGTACATACATATTTTCGAACGCGTCACGCGCGCGCGTACGCCTATTAGAATTGCCATTCTACTCTCTTTACTATATACGCATATAAATTATCTTGATATAATATTTATACTACGAAGAAACCGCGCACGATTCCACTGCAATTGAAAATTATTTTTTGTTGAAATAAGTGCAGGACTAACTAACGCGAAATCCAGAAATGGAATCGCTTACAAGCTTGCGCCGTGCGCCGCGCCGTCCGATTAATCTCGTGATGGTATAACACACTGGGATTATTGATTTACGTCTCACGTCGTTAAATTATGAGTTTTTTACATTTACTAAATGCATTCTAATTCGTTGCAATTACAATAATGTATATCGGCGGAATGTGCGCGCGTTAAATCGTGTTATACGTGCTCGCGTGAGCTGCGTTGGTGTAAGGAAAGCCTATGATTTCTACATTTTCCTTGAAGAAAAAGATCCCCACATTGTTCATCCTTATACTTTTCTCTGTCCGTTTTGTTGAGAAACGCGCGAACCACACGTAACCACAAAACGACTTCCGTTTCAACGGCTGCGGATCATCTCTTTGCCCTATATATAATTGTAAGTTTTGTTTCCTCTTCCTTCTCCCTCCTCTTCCCCCTCCCTCCCCCAGAAACCCCCCCCTCTCTCTCTCTCTCTCTCTCATACACACATACACACACGCGCGCGCACGCGCGCGCACACACACACACCATTTTTGGATAACAAACTGCATGAATTCGCATTCGTGACTTTTCATTCGTTCGATCTTTTTCTTTCGTTACATTTAGTCAAGTTCATTTTCGAGCTTGCACTATATTTTCGTGGTCAAATCTTACCTCGGAACGGACTGCCGCTGTATCGATGAGAGCCGGGTAGCACAATGTAACGATGAGGGTGACGATGACGAATATTCTCACGTTGTAACAACTGACTTTCGCGCGCGGATTCGACATTTCCATTTGTACGTATGGATACACGAGACGTACGTATCGCACGGAGATGATCGCAAATACTCAACTTCCCAGTCTCCCGAGCTTATAGGTGTACCACCTGCAAGATCGTGTATGAACCTTTGGCTTTGCGTGCTTGTCTTTGCCGCGATGCGACGAGTCCTCGATCCTCGTGCACGCTGGCGAAACGCGCGCGCGTTTACACACTATACGCGAATGACGTGGGGCGGCGTGGGGCGCGGCGCGAAACGGAGTGGACCGTTTCCTCCGAGAGCACTGACAAGTTCGCGCGGGGATGTTCGCACGAACGAAAGAATGTCACAACGAACGTGACGAGCGCGAACAGAGTGCGTTCGAACACGACGGCCGCGCGGCGTTAAGGTCGTAAATGTTAAATGGGAAACGAAACGTCGGGGATGACCTTTTCCACTCGAGAAATGTACGTATTAAAATCAGCACGAGCGTGTCCACGCGCACGCACGTTCTCTTTCAGTGACCGAATTATATACGCGTCCGGATATCCTCGGGACTTTATACATAGACTGCAGTCTTCTCGTATAGAGTGAAGATGCTTTCGAGTCACCGGGGGTTTATATAGGCTGGGCTAGCCGTTGCCAAGGGTGGGGAAAAAGATTTAGGCAGAGAAACAAGGAGAGTGAGGAAGAGAGTGTGAAACGGAGAGGGAAGCCGTGACTCGCGAGAGACTGAGACCACCGCAATAACGAGAGAAAAGAAGAGAGGGAGGCTACGTTTAGACGTTAATAACAATAACAACAATAATAATAATAACGACAAATGCGTGTAATAAGACAACTGCGCGATCTTTCGTCGCTAGTCTTAGTTGATTTATTCCTCGCGATTAACGAGATCGATAGATCTTGTGCCATGGGTGCACGCGCGTGGAGCACGTGCCTCAATGGCGCGCAAAACGAGGTGTTTCCGCTTGGTATACACGCGCGCGCGGCGCGCGCCGCGAGTCAACGCCGCGATTTTCACTAGCTAGCCTTTTTGTATTCTCGATTCGATCATTTCTCAATTCAAGATCGGACGGGGGATTTTTATTTCGCTCTACTTCGCTTCAATTCGTTTCGCCAACTTACGCATCCTTTCCAATTTTCCACACCCGCACAATAATCATTTCACTTTCCAATAAACGTCTTTACTTCGCGCGAGATTAATATATGATATTAATTAATAGCACCTTTTCAATTTAATTGTTAAATTCTTTTGCCTGCTTTATCGAGCATAAAGTCCATCTTTCTCATTACATATTATTATGTAAAAATCTACAATCACAAGGATATGATTGAACGACTCTCTTCTGTTAAAAATATATCGCTCATTTTCCATACTAAAAATATTAAAAAATTGTTTCATACTTTCGCATGTAAATTAATTTTAATTGGGATAGTTGTTTCTCTTTCCCTTAGAAAAACTCGCATATTTCACTGCAGTACAGTAATAACACATTTTGCGCAAATGAATAAGTAGTATTCGTATGTCGATCAACTAGAGCGAATAAGAAGAGAGGAAGGAAGGAGGAGAGAGAGAGAGAGAGAGAGAGAGAGAGAGGCTAAAACATCTGCGTCATCACACAGAGGCAGAGTCACCACGTTTCTAAAATGCGCGCTTTCTTTCCTCACGTACTTATGATGTAATGCCACTTGGAAAACTATCAGACAGCACGTATAGTAAAACTTGTGAACGAAAAACGTATATAGGGATCTAGAACAAACAATATAACGACGAGTTTTTTAATACGTATTAAAATACATATGTTATTGCTTAGATAAACGAAATTCAAATAAGCAGACCGCTCTGTTTACGTATAAAGTTTGAAGTTTCATGTTATAGTACGCGCGCACGATAAATTTCTGTAGAAATAACTTGATGTAATAAGATAGATAAAATGATTTATCTTTACCGCCAGAAAATATCTCAAGCTGAATTTTTTTTCTTTAACGAGGTTTTTCGATAAAAATTTGTCGAAAGATAAAATACACGCGTGGTATGATCTGCCGTGATATCTTATTTTTCATCAAAATCGCAACAAATACTACGTGTCAAATGAAAATTGACACGCTTGAATAAATATAAATTCTCCAACAATTCGGCACAAAGAATTAATTGAAATACTAGAACTATGTAGAATTTTTTTCTGATTGATTACATTTGCGAGAAAAACTTAAATAAAACTTTCCATGTAATTCCAGCAAGTCTTTTTCGTCTTGAAACATTTCCACACTTTGATATTGAAATCATCTAGCTCGTTCTTCTTCTACCGTTATTAAGATATTTTTCAGTAATAATGAACTTAAACCCAGCTTTGTAAAGCACAAACAAATTTCTTCATCGTTGACAATTTTTCCTATTCTTTTAATTTAACCAATCGACGTAGAGTACGTATTCGTCATAGGTCACGCTCTCGGACGTGCCGTTCAAGTCGAGGCATTGGTCTAGATCAAGGCATTGAGGCGATCCTCAGTTGCGTTGTATCGATACAGCGCTATATGATCGCGGATCGGCACGATTGCTGTTTGCCTGAGAAAGGCAGACCTCGCGCTCGTCCACGCGAAACGTTTTACTGTTTTAGCCTCTCTCACCATCGGTTGGATTGATAACTTTATATCCGTACGTAGGTATGTATATGTGAGTCACAGAGAATGTAGAGGCTCGACGGAGGCCTGTCGATCTTTTGACCAATGACAGAACAGTTGGTCGCTTACGTCGAGATCACCTCATAGGCGACGCAACACATCACGTCATCCACCGCATTGTGAGTCCGCGGTATGCCACATGTAAATTTTCGGCGATCATGCAGTAAATCGTTCAATTTTGTGCACGGTGAGATGGTCACGCAGCTTGCCAACTGCGTAATGGCAAAATAATGTAGATAACATAAATAATATATCATAACATATATAAACATGATAATAATATAATAGAGTTTTAATGAGCGATCCGCGCAATGAGAAAGACGCTAACGAGATAGACTTGAAGCATATGCAACGATATTCCTGATAAAATTATGGCAAAACCATAAAACTTCAATCATTAACGAACGATTAGTGCAACGAACTTGGCTCTACATTTCTCATTTTTACTGAGCGATGCATATTTTATTTTATATCTCAAAAGTCATGTTATACGGCCGCTAGTAAGTAGTGGCTTGGCGTTATCAATCAAGATGATACAACTAAAGATGCACACATAGTTGCAAAGTGCATGTATTCGCTGCCCGTGCAACGTATGTTTTTCGGCTGGCGAACTGGCTTCCTCACTGCAAGTAAAGGCCAGTCAAATTTTCACCAAGTCCAACTTTTTCGAGAAATGAGAGTAAACCCGATAAAAGGGAGAGATAGTGACGAATCACATATTTTTTCGTCGCGTGTGTGACATATTCTCGCAGTCGGTTGAGCAAAGGAGTCAGCGTCAATGAGGAGGGTATGGAACGAGGCGTACGTGGCCTATGATCGCCCCGAGATCCAAATTGCGTCATTTCGCTTCCGGAAAGAAACTATATAAACTACGCAGTTTGTCAAGTGAGATTGCTCCCTCCTTTTTTTTTATTCGAATTTGCTTTCATGGCCAATATATGCTCAAGATAAAGAATTAACATCTTGTGTGAAGCATTGCGTCCGCATGAGATAAAGAGGTACACATTATATCCTATGAAGCATTTCGTACGGCGCAATGCCACGCGGTAATGTAGATATATAATCTTCTATTTCCGGTCCGTTTTTTTTTTCAGTAAGCATAAGAATTACCGAATTTTTATAAGTAGCAAATTATGTATTAGATTAGAGATTTGTTAAGAATTACGGAGGATAGTTAAAGAACTACAGTTAGAAACCTATATTAAAGATAGAATTATATCAATGTGATATAATTCTATTATGGATCGAGTATCCTTTGAAGAAAGTTTTAAAGATTATATATACAATTAATTCCATTCTATTGCTACTTGAATTTTAATTTCGAGTTGTAATTCTTTATGACGTAAAACATTAATTACACTGAAAATAACGAAATGTTTTCCTCTTCTTATTATTTGGCATATAAACAATAGTAATTTGAAATAAATCGCGTAAGTGAATGTCAAAAATAAATTTGGGAGCACCTTCTACGATCAAAACTGTTTCTTGATGCCTAATTGTAATATTTTTATATGAATTTTAAAACCATTATTCAGCACATTTAAAACTATACGTACGAATTAAAGTCGGACTTGCAACGCAATCATTATTAGCTTAAGCTGGAATAGTGAGATCCAAGGTGAGATTACAATTGATCTTCAATTTTTTATAATCCAGTGCAAATAAACATCTTGAAAACACTATGAAGAAATTCTTCATAGTGTAGTCTTCTATTTGAAATATAGGACATAATTTTTTCCCAATTTCTTGAGCATTGTACGAGTAAAATTATATCTGAATCAGGATATATTTGACTTTAACACATAATAACATTTTATTTCTTTCCTTTTTTGTTATGACTGCAATAATAATACAGTTGATATAATGATATAGAACAAATATTTCAACTTTTTGTAAAATAAATAAGATAATTGTCAACGTCGAGCGTGTGTAATTTAACTGTGTAAGTATATATAAGTTAGTATATATAAGTATATATAAGTAAGTATATATAAGTACCGCGTGGACGTTTCAGTTTGCGGCAAATACATGATATTCCGATAGAAGCAAACGAGCTCTTAAGGACTTGTATAAAACGTGAAATGTCCAAGATCTTTGAAATTTTTATCGGTTAAATCTGGCGTATTTAGTGTCCATAGAACGATTATATAAAAAGCCTACTTTGCTTGCAATTCCTTAATAATTGTGTTGTTACAGAAGCTCTTGTGTTGTCAGAAAGCTCCCCGCAACATCACTTTGGAATCTCGAAAAATCTTGCTGATCGTTTTCTTACAAAGACACTTCTTTGTATCTATTTACTTAAATAAGCATCTTGATAAATCCTTGGCGAGTCTTGAATCAAAATTAATACTTAAGAAATGGGAAAATATAATACATCTATGAATCTAGGAAAACGATTATGTCTTTAACGTAAATAATTTATTATTGGAATTAGTTCAAGTTGGTATACGAAATGGTGTACGTGAATGCGTGCGTGAGTGCGTTCGTGCATGCGTGCGTGCATGCGTACGTGCGTCCATTGGTATAAGTGTGCGTGTAGATGTGTGTGGGCAAAGATTCGAACGCGATTTAAACGTGTTTCGAATCGAATATCATAATGTTCCGTTTCGTGTTTTTCCAATCACATGAGAGCAAATAAGTCGATCATTTACGGACCCTCCCCCCCCCACACACACACACACACACACGCACACGCATGTATGTATACACGCACGCACGCATGCACACAACGATACGTTAAGAAACGTGACAGATGCGTAAAACGAGGCTAGGCGTTAGGCTAAGCGCTAGACTGGGTCAGGACTAAACAAGACTAGGCGAGATAAGACGACTGACGTGAGACGAGACAACGAGGCAGAAAAGTAGAATCGTAACAACAATTGACATGTGTCCGTAAGCAAACAGA